GGCTACTGCCTTCAAACTATCCAAAAGCTTTAAAAGCTAAATACTACATTGTCTGTTCAGTCACTCTGCAAACAGCGAAAGCCAATAACACTCAGCATGACAGTGTGTGCAAATGTGATGAGATTACATTCCTGGGAGGTGCAAAATGGAAATCCCGAACTCCAGATCCAGCACACTGCCTATCTTTAGTGGAACATTTGTAATAACAGTTTTATTTTTAATTTCATAGTCCATAAACCAGAAATGATAGTGTGAAATGAATAAGGAGATGCACACAAAATGAATCCAGGGTTAAGTAATTATTACATGGGAATCAGTGGTAGCTGAAAAAGTATTACAAAATGTATCTGTTTTATTATCAGACTAGCTTACTCAGTGTTGTTTCCATATTCATGAATTTAGGAATATACAATCACCATAAAAAAAATGTAAATAGAGCCTTCAAAAGTGGGAAGGAAGAAACTATAGCATCGGAAGGTCTTTGTCCATTAGTTATTAACTTTAGTGTTGGTATAGGAGCTTCAGAATGCTTGGCAATTGAGTGTAAAGAATATGTAACTTTTTATATTCCTGATATGTGCCCACTGTACAATGTATTTGTATGAAAACGTTTCCTGTTCTCTTTGCACTTATTCCTTTGTGTGAAATCCCTGCCAGTCCCTCTGTTTTCCCATTACAAATTGATCACACTAAGCAGAACACACCATGGTCAGTTTGCTAGCTGTGCTGGGAACTCAGTCTGCTCTCCTCCAATGATCAGACTTGTCCTGACACACACCCCTGCACAGCTATTCACTGGGAAGATCAGTGTGCAACTGTTTTATCCTCCTCTAGCTCTTATGCAGCTGAGAACAGAGGATATGTGATATATAAAAAAATGTGGAAACAAGGGTATTGATATTTTTTTTTTATAGCTATACACAAATGTTTTGCCTTTCATTTCTATTTTAAAATGAATGGGTTTGAACATCAACCTTTGTCCCTGTGTCCACCCAAGAGTGTGCAGGTGTGTCTGGCGGGGGGGCAGAGGGGTGGAGTGGTCTCAGGATATAGCTCAATTTACTCATCCCACCTCCTTCAGAGAGCTAGGAGCAATAGCAGGCCCTCTGCCCACTCTGCTTCTGTGTGTCAGGAGGTTCATTATTATCACATGTGAATGATATCAATTTTGATTGGTTCAGAATACTGACCTCCCCACCCCCTTTACACAATCTGAGTGCTTTTGCACAAGGGTTGCAAGAGTCTGGTACCCAGTAACATTCAGGTACTTACACTAGCTTCATTTTACAAATACAGTACATTTCGTACATTTTATTGGACACCATGAACTAGTGTTTTATATATGCCAGCTAGCTATAGGCCCCTTCTCAGTTAAAGTGGAACTGCAGTGCATCTAAGCACCACAAATCAAAATTGCAGTTTCATTCATTGTCAATATTCAGAGAAAACTCACCCATCCCTCCGTGTCTCCAAGCTTTATTTTGCTGAGAAACACTCCCTGGCATTTCTGGCAGTGGCCATCTTGAGTAGGGGCAGATGATTCATGTAGCGTTTACTTCCTGAAATCCATCTGCCCTTAGCTCAGGTACCGGCTGAGCTGAGAACCCTCCCTCCTCTCCTCAAGATTGCTGGGATGTATAACATCATTTGCTTAGGCAGGGAAACTAGGAAGTAACTGAAGAAATGTATAAAAAGTTTAAGACAAATAAATATGATATACTTTCCCATCCATTTAATGATGCTATCAGCATAAGGATTAAAAATAGTTAATGTTGATTGAGAGAGTGAAGTTTCACTTTAACTAGAACTGAGAGGAAATGTAAAACTGTGACTGTAGTTCTACTTTCAAGGTAATGTCCTAAACAAACTGGGATCCATTTAGGATCTAATTTTCTCACCTAACCCAATTATAAAAAAATTAATTAACTAGTACACTACCAAAAGATGGTGATTTTAACAGGGATGGTGTGTGTGTGTGTGTGGGGTGTTATCCAAAGTAGGGGATACAACAGTGCTGGATGCTGTTCTCCTACTCGGTACTACTACAGCTACTGTTAACACTCTCATGATTGCCGGATTATCCATTCAGTCATATAGTGGAATAGTGTCCTCCATTACAGATGGTTCGGTACAATGTGGTAGTAGATTTTGAAAGTTCACTGATCTCTAGTTTCAGAGAAAGATAGGATTTTTGCTGATGCAGTTCCATCTTAGTCTTTTGACTTTACTAAGGTTTCCAAATGGAGTTTTTGAAAAAACAAAACTGTCAGAATTACAGTGGGTTGACAATTCTCTTACAGTTGCAAGAAAAAGTATGTGAACCCCTTGGGATTACGTGGAGTTTTGCATGAATTGGGCATAAAAAATGTGCTCTGAATGTCATCTAAGTCACAACAATAGAAGAACACAGTCTGCCCAACATAATACTGCACAAACATTAGATGTTGCCATGGTTTAATTGCACATAACATGTAAACATTCACAGTGCAGGGAGGAAAAAGTATGTGAGGCCCTAGCTTAATGACTTCTCCCAGAGCTAATTGGAGCCAGGAGTGAGCCAACCTTGACTCCAATCAGTGTGATGATATTGGATGTGTTGCTGACAGCTGTCCTGCCCTTAAAAAACACACACCTGTTTTGGGTTTACTGGTTTCAAGAAGCACTGTCTGATGTGAACCATGCCTCGCAGAAAAGAGCTCTCAGAAGACCTGCAATCAAGAATTGTTGACTTGCATGAAGCTGGAAAGGGTTACAAAAGTATCTCCAAAAGCCTTGATGTTCATGTGTCCATGGTAAGACAGACTGTCTACAAATGGAGAAAGTTTAGCACTGTTACTACTCTCCCTAGGAGGGGTCGTCCTGTAAAAATGACTGCAAGAGCACAGCGCAGAATGCTGCATGAGGTAAAGAAGAATCCCAGAGTGTCAGCTAAAGACCTACAGAAATCTCTGGCACATGCTAACATTTTTGTTGACACATCTACAATAAGGAAAACATTAAACAAGAATGGAGTACATGGGAGGACACCACGGAGGAAGCCATTGCTGTCCAAAAAGAATATTGCAGCACATTTGAAGTTTGCAAAAGAGCACCTGGATTTTCCACAGCACTACTGGCAAAATATACTGTGGACAGATGAAACCAAGATTGAGTTGTTTGGGAAGAACACACAACACTATGTGTGGAGAAAAAAAGGCACAGCACACGAACATCAAAACCTCATCCCCACTGTAAAACATGGCGGAGGGAGCATCATGGTTTGGGGCTGCTTTGCTGCCTCAGGGCCTGGACGGATTGTTGTCATTGATGGGAAAATTAATTCCAGAGTTTATCAAGACATTTTTCAGGAAAACGTATGACCATCTGTCCGCCAACTGAAGCTCCAGCTAAGCTCCGCAGAGGATGGGTGATGCAACAGGACAATGACCCAAAGCATACAAGTAATTCAACAAAACAATGGCTGCAACAGCACAGAATACGCCTTCTGGAGTGGCCCAGTCAGAGTCCTGACCTCAACCCGATTGAAATGCTGTGGCATGACCTTAAGAGAGCGATTCACACCAGACATCCCAAGAATATTGCTACACTAAAACAGTTTTGTGAAGAGGAGTGGTCCAAAATTACTCCAGATCGTTGTGCAGGTCTGATCTGCAACTACAGGAAACGTTTGGTTGAGGTTATTGGTGCCAAAGGAGGGTCAACCAGTTATTAAGTCCAAAGGTTCACATACTTTTTCCTCCCTGCACTGTGAATTTTTACATGTTATGTGCAATTAAACCATGGCAACATCTAATGTTTGTGTAGTATTATGTTGGGCAGACTGTGTTCTTCTATTGTTGTGACTTAGATGACGTTCAGAGCACATTTTATGCCCAATTCATGCAAAACTCCACGTAATCCCAAGGGGTTCACATACTTTTTTCTTGCAACTGTATGCGGCACTCATAAAGAAAATATTCTACTAGTATATGCAAATATATCACAGTGCACAAATCACATTTGGATTGTAAATGAAAACCCATTCACAGCATGTATGAACAGCAAGGCAAATACATAAAACACCAAATAAATTACAAAACTGAAAATTAACTTATTTATGCTGTTTCTACAGCAGAACACATGTGAAAAATATAACCCCACCCCTACTCCAACACACACATATATCCTGTCAAAAAAGTTAATTTAACCCACCTAAGTCCCTAGTATATTGAAGAAAACTGATAATAAAACCATCACTGCTAAGCTATTTTTATGGAACAGTCCAAGTATTTTAACAACTGACTCAACCTCTTAATTCATCATGATGTTTCACCATATCAGCAGTGAGTTCACTGGATGTGGAATATAGTATATATGTGTACGATCACTGGTGAATTAATATTTATACCCCCACTCAGACCTCAATCCCAAGCAACACAAGCAACATATGAAATCTCTCAATACTGAGATCAGGCCATAGAAAGAGCTTCAGAAGTTCCCGAAGTGACTGTTCTAGCAGAACTCTTTCATTTATATGTGGGTTATTCAAGCTAAAGAAGGGTACTGTTATGGTACAATAGATGCAGGAGCAACCCATATGAAGAAAAAATCAAGGGTTTCAGGAATTCTCCCTTATTAGAAGCTCTAGGGCTGCCCTAGAGCTTGATAGTGACCGAATTAACAATTTCTGTTAAAATTCTATTACCATATTAGTGTTTGTTATCGGAAAACCATGATAAGCAAAATTGAGGGCTGCAACTTGAAGTTTACCTTGTAGTAATCTCCTTGGTGCTCAACCAGTGGCTCTTTGGCACTTATTGAGTGATCCTTGGGGCCCCTGCACACAGTAGTCTGCAATTTGGGGCTTACCCAGGCTAGTTAAGGAAAAATAATCTTTAGACTGGCTTTTTCGAAGGTATAGCGTATCTAAACCCCCACAAAGATTAAAAAAGTATATATTATATTGCAGCTTACAAGTCATTAGATGTGGTGGTTACATTTGTTTCAGGCTAAGACCATTTTAACTTCCCTGGAGGTATTCCCGAGTGTAGCTCGGGGTAAAGTTTCAGCACCAAAAGCGGTAACGCGCGAGCTACACTCAGGAATACCATGCAGCGTTGCTCTGGGATCCCTGGATCACTTACCTTGTCCTGCGCTCCCGCGATGTGTCCCCTGCAGCATCCCTGGCCATCTCCGAGTTCCGGTCCCTGCGAGCACCGGACGTACGGGACATACGGGGGCCGGAACCGGCGGGAAATTTGAAAATTTTAAAAACTGACATTCACTAATACACTAAAATCACATAGTAAAACATTACTGTATCAAACCATTTCACATACATTTTGTCCCTACTGCTTTGCCCTGTGCCCTGCCTGCATTTGTACGGTTCTTTCTGCCTGGAAACTTAGAAAAGTCCATAGCGTCCAAAAAGCGTCCCTTTAGGTCAAAAGCAGTTTTAGACCAGCTAGGGAACAGCGATAGTAAATCAGAACCACTTGCAGAATTGAGTGATAATGAATTGTGGGGAAATTCGTCATCAGACACTGAAAAACGATTCTGCGACTGAGCTCAGCAATGTGCGATCTTGGCGCTATATTTCAAATTTCAGTGTTTTTGGTTTGATTATATTATTGAATTAAATGTATTATTATATTATAAATTTGTAATGGTTATTTATTATATTATAATTTAATATTTTGTGTTTCAAGTTTTATCATACCCGGGATGTTTACTAGACTCTTGTTCGAACAGATTTCAGTGAGTTATTCCTAAAAATTACAGGCCTACAATAAAAAAACAACATATTTCCATGCAAAAAAATGGTACCGCTTTCAGCACAGAAATATGGACATAATCAGACCACTAGGGAGGTTAAGCAAGTACAGTAACTACCTGTTGATCTTGCCAGATATGCAGTACCCATGCCACTTCCTGTGAGGTGAAATGACAGCAAAATCAATGTTACCTTTCAAATGTATACTACTAATCTAATGAACTACCATGCAATGGAGATGAACAAGGCCAGACAACTTTGAAGTCCAGCCTGTGCACAAAGCATTGATGTCTCCATAAAAACTATGGTGAAGTAAGTATTGCCTTTAAGAAATAGTAACTACATTATCTGCAGGATTACCAATTAAACATAAAGGGAAAAAAGTCTGGAAGGAATAAACCAACGCAGCTACTATATCTGAGGACTGATAAATTGCAATATAATAAATTGTTGTTTGGGGGTTTAGATATTCTTTAAGCTGTTTGGCTCACTTGTGGGCCCCTACATCAAGAAAAGTTGACTACCACTGCTATATCTCCTTGTGGGGGTTCCAAGAAAAGTCAAGATACACCATTAACTTGAGTGTATCGAGCTCCACATACGCCAAATGCTAGAGGACACAGGTGTTCTACTATACCCCATATTCAGTATAAGAAGGGTGTTTGGGGTACACATGTTCTGGAGACAACATTTCTGAAAAGCAAGAGAATTGCGCAGCCATATGAAAAAAATCCTTTGTATAACACACATTTTGTGCTCATTCATACAGAGCCTCTATTATAATGTTACTTATGTTAGTATTTTATTATGTTATGTAGTTATGTTTTTTTCCATTATGAAGATACTATGTTGTGTCTAAACACCACTCAGACCTGAGCAGATGAAGAATCTGGCACTGATGAGTATTTTTAACACATATCCTGATAAAAGAAAATCCAAAATTGTGAGACATGTGCTTGTGCTCAGCTGCCAAGTTTGACAGCCAAGATGACTCTTATGGCAAGATGATGGCATTATAATGAACATAGTCTGACACTAATCACTGACTTATCCTACCCAGTCACATAAAAAAAAAAAAGTGAGCCATTATTGGGCACACTTCATCACTTAGATCAAAGCAGGAATATTACTTAGAAATATACATGAAAGAACTGAATGATTCTTTCAGTTGACTGAATCAGCACAGCACAGGGGCCATATTATCCTGTGCTCTTCTGTCTTTGTGAATTTAGGCTAGCCATATGCAAGTAGGTCCTTACACTAATAGGCCTTGAACCTGCCCAGTCTACACAAGGATTTATTTAGACACCATAGGTTATCATATCGGTGAGGTCACTACTTAACATAAGCCCTTCTTCTTTTGCCATCAATAATCTACTGAAATTTCTGTAGTGGAAATTAAGCTCTGATGATCTACAAAAGACATCTGTGTTTTTGTTTCCTAAATAGGACTAAAAACCTGCAAAGAAGCAGGCAACAGCAACCCGTATTTGAACTTTAAATGGTCTTGTGACTCACGTCTGTAGCAGCTGCACTGTGCCTCTTCAGTGTTTTGCTGCAGTTTTACACACAAGAAAAAATACAAAATAAACTAGAAAAGCTACAATTTCTGGGGAAATTGTGTGAAGTGTTCTTGCCTCCACCAGTAGTCTACAACTGGAGTGGGCAGAGTAACTGAGTGGAGTGGCTTGTCACTCTGCTGCCTGCTCACACACCTGGGTTCCTATGGCAACTCACTCTACAGCAAGGGCAGAGAAGAGCGGTTTAAAAACAAACTGCTCCAACTTGCTCACTTCACTGGCGGTTGCCAACTTCAAACGGTTGTAGTTTAAAAATTATAAATCCTACACCGAAGAGAGCTTTATATTGTGAGAATCACAAGACCCAGACCTACATTTTGATGCATAGTATGTCTCTGAAATATTAAAAATGAAGGCACAGTTGCAGTTTAGAAATTGCCCTTCAAATTTGAGGTGGCTAGAGTGGAGTTTCAATGAATGTCAATGGGTAGCATGAGTTGCAAACAAATGGTCATATTGTGAAAACTATCAGGACTATGGCTTAGTCATGGACATTTTTAGTGGCAGCAGGGATAGCTGACCGTTTTGATATAAAATTTGTGTACGTGGGCTTGAAAATGAGGGAGTGATGGCAGTTTATTAATCATGTCCTGATTTTTCAGCTCACACTCTAGCTTTTGTCAGCTCCCACTCTAGTTTTGAACATTCTGCCATTCATTCCTATGCGACCAATTTCACCACAAAAAATGCCGATATTTCGTGAACCATTCGGCAAAACGTTCCACAAAGTAATAGTACACCAATCGAGAACAATCCGCACGTTTCGGTATATTACTGTCTATGTAGTGTAAAAACTGTGGGAGGAGTTAGGGTGGTAAATTTGGCTATAATAATAAGAATACATATTTGAGATAACAGTAAGTGGTCTTGCCATGCAAGAACACTTAATAATGCTGTGGCAGTGCTTTCTCTTGCACTGTCCATTCACAGTTAACTCTAAACTGATGTCCTGTAAATGCTTTTAAAGTGTCGGTGTCGTAGTTTGTCACCATTTTAAAGGTACATGCAATTTTCGGGTTTGACATGCTTGGTATCTATTTACATGAGGCAACCTCATCTTGTATATTATAACAAAAGTGGGGTAATACTGTACATTATGTTTTGTGTGCACTAAAATTAACATTTGTGTATTTTTTACTGAAAATGTGAGTTTAATAAACAGTTGCGTTACTAGTGTGTTCCCTTAAAAAGTGCAATGAACCCCATTTTATCCTTCAGAAAATATATATTATTTTGTGGGTTTTAAATAATCTTCAGGCCTAAAATTTACAATATAAGATGTGTGCAAAAAATGCAAAATGAGTGTTTTAATTCAAAAGCAGTAAGTTATTTTTGGATATGTTTTCTATATACAAAAAAGTACACTTCTTCAGGTGTTATCCCATTACCAAAGATTTTATTGCACAATAGAAAAAGACATACATCAAGAGCTTGGGAGCTCTGGATGTACTCATGTTGCATTAAATCCGAATACATAACAGCTTATAAAGGCAACATTATTGTCATAAGCAGAAGTATGTAATAATCAAACACAATAACATGAGACAGAAGGGATAAGACACCATCCTAAGTGTAGGGACATAAGCCCATCAATGACTTTGTGATTAATTGTGGAGGTACAGGCCACAAATAGTTGCCTGAGGGTTTATTTACAACTATAGAAGAGTCGGTATACAGGACTCTATATACCTGGCTTCAAATAGTGGGAGTTGTAATTGCAAGGCTGGAGAAAATGGAGAAAAAAATTGGGGAAGACCAAAAGAGAGGAAAAGAAGAGAAAGCTAAGGAGGAATGACACTGAATGGGGGTGGGGGGGGGGGGGGCTGTTTGTAGACAGTAAAGAGTAGAGATTCCTTCAAGGCAGGTAGGAGAGTTGGGGTCTCAGAGATGGAGAAGGTGTCAGGTCTACAAATATATGTTGCGCTCTTCTAAATACTTCAAATTCAAATTCAAATTATGATACAAATAACTAATAAAAGTGTATACATACCAAAAAAAGCCACGTGATTGGAGGCGTAACGCGTAGGGGAGGGGCTACGTCATCACTCGGAGAGGAGCTGCACAACACGATAGACGGCAGGTGTATGACTCAGAGGCCAGCAGAGGATTTCCAATGGGATATTGCGTTACTTAAACCTGTCTAATGTGAGTTTAATACTTGGATGATGGGAATAAAAAGTTTTAAAAGGTAAAGCACTATGTCCTCTATTTCTTCCTGCATGCGGAGTAACACAAGGAGAGGATAATTAGGAGGTCTGAGATAACAAAAGGAGTGTGTAATCCCTGAGGGGATAAACAGCCACCAGAGGATACATCCATTACTCCTAAAGGAAGGATCTCCCAATTTTACCAGCAAAAGTATATGTCCAGCAGGTTCCAGGGAAAGTGAACCAAAAGCGTGTATAGCCTAATTGCAGGCATCAAAGGAGGTGAGCGCACATCTTCACTATTTGAAGGATTCACAAAAGTCACAAATTGAAGAACAACAAGCACCAAGTCACTATATATAAACAATTGTTTATTCAATGGGACTATTATTTTGATGATATTTGGATTCATACTAATCACTACTAATTATTTATGAGCATTTGGTTATTTTTATTTATGGGGGATCATTTAAATGCGTTTTAGTTGAGGGTTATTAGTTGGTTTATTATTTTTATTATATTAAATGAGGGTATTATGAATATAAATGAAATTGAGGGTATTAATAAGTACATCATGTCACTAATAGATGATTTATGAGCACTTGGTAAAATATTTTTTTAGAGGCGTATTTCATGTGGAATTATTTTGATATTTATTTGGAGGAGATTGATGAGTTGCAAATTATCTATTTAAATATTTTTTGGTATGTATACACTTTTATTAGTTATTTGTATCATAATTTGAATTAATGTAATGGTAATAATTTGATTATTATTTATTGAGAAGTATTTAGGAGCGCAACATATACAGTTGCAAGAAAAAGTATGTGAACCCCTTGGG